GATTCAGTTCTGCATTGTATTTTTCACTTCTGCATTGTATTTTTCCAAAATGTACTTCCCTGTCCTAAGCAGGGGGCTTGGACAACCAATATGAATACGCCTATTGTAACGCCTTCTGATTTACGAAGTTTGATTAAAGGTATAAAATCACTGCCCAGGGCGTAGCCCAGGCAGTTCAGATTTTGGTGTGCGAACACGCTGAACTCGATGCATCAATAAACCTGTTTCTCTCGCACCTTCATGGTCTCGAGTCCTGGTCTTTCGTAAGTAGATTGCTAAGTAAAACCTCAATCTGCTGCAACATGAGGAATCCTTTGCCTTGGACTCTGATTTAATTTTGGATGCTATTTGGAACCCTGACACTGCGGTTTTCACCTCATTAAAAGTTTTTCTACTTTCTCAAAACAATCAGTCCCATGGTCCAATCAACGTTCATCCTGACAACCGGGTAGGGCCATCACTCCGCCGCCTTCTGACCAGGTGTGAAAATGTCCTTGGCTCCCAAGAGAAAGCATTTTGTTTTGGCTAGAAAAATCAAACTAGGAGGGGAAAACCGGGAAGATTTCAGAACTGGAGGGAGGGATAACAATGGGAGGGGAGGGGAAGCTGCCTCGGGAAGCTGCTCCAAGTCAGGCAAAGCCCTGAGAAATTAAGAACCGCTGGCTAAACTAAAAACTGTGGAGGGGGAATCCTATTGGTAACAATAATGAAAGTATGGAAAAAGGATTCCATAAATTGGGACCCCGAATTCCATTCTGAAGGCAACAGACCTCATTGTACCAGCATTTTACCAGGCAGATGAGGCATTTCAGCTGGCCGCATTGGTTCCGTATGAAGTTCCTTTGCAGCTCCGTGAAGCAGGGGGAGAACGCCCCACATGTGGCTGTGCGTATCAGTTGGAGGTAGGGCTGAGGGTCAGACTTGCAACCGTCATACCGGCCTGTCGAGAGAAGATCCGGGTAGAATGTGCAGAAACGAACAGATTAACATTAGCAATGAAGGAGAAAGAGCAAACGGAATCATTTATATGATTGGGGAAGTATTTTACCAATGGCTGGAGAATAAAAAAGGAGTTCGGAAATGGCTAAAAAAAATAAGTAGAAAATATATTAAGATAGCGATACAAATAAGATGAAAGCTGTTAGTAGGTGCAGGATGAGAATAGTGATGTTTCGTGTTAATATGGTGTCATCGCTAGAAGAGAAATGGAGAGTTTTATCATGTGTAAATGTTTAATATATTATAAGATTAGGTTTAGGGAAATGAGGTTAATATGAATGTGAAAGAGGTGGCAAATGAGGAACGATGTGGCACAGAGATGTTTGCACCCAGGAGAGAGAGAGGGAGGGATGGAGAGAGAGGGAGAGGGAGGGAAGGAGAGAGAGAGGGAGAGAAGGAGAGAGAGAGGGAGGGATGGAGAGAGAGAGGGAGGGAGGGAGAGAGAGGGAGAGAGGGAGAGGGAGGGAAGGAGAGAGAGAGGGAGAGAAGGAGAGAGAGGGGGGGAGAGAGGGAGAGAAGGAGGGAGGGAAGGAGAGAGAGAGGGGGGAGAGGAAGGGAAGGAGAGAGAGAGGGAGAGAAGGAGAGAGAGGGGGAGAGAGAGAGAGGGAGAGGGAGAGAGAGGGAGAGAAACTGCATAAGGAAGGTGGAATGTCTACTTTTGTAATTGAGAAAAAAATCCTTAATTAAAAAAAGGGGGGGAATCAACCAGGCCTCAAAAGGCATGGGTGACCAGGGAACCGGTTCGGGGGCGAGGCCAGCCAGCCCTCTCGACCGGTTTGGCGGCCCAGTTGCCATCTCCACTACCGGTTCGCCCAAAACGGTGCGAACCGGTAGGAACCCACCTCTAGTGATTTCCTTGGCTCTAGTGCTCCCTGCCTAACCGTAGCAGGTGGGGGAGAGGGGGCTTTACTTGCTCAGGAAGAATATACCCACCTAGGGCATCGTAGGCTGGCAGGACATCAAATTCAATGAAATCCACTGATTTTTTCGAACGTAATTTGAACTGGAGCACCCGAGGGTTGGGCCACTTGGACTCGTCAAATATGAGTTCCAATCGCACGTTCTCCTTGCATTCGTTGAACCACCTTCCAATCTCCGTGATGATCGTCTGCTGCTCCTCTTCCTTGTCTGTGTATTTTTTGACAAGGTCCAATAACAAGTTTAGGTCAAAATTTGACGAATACGGCTTCCCCCGGCCTTCGCTCCACCACCTCTCCAGCTTCTCAACAATCGTCTTCTGCTGCTCTTCCTTGTCTCTCTTTCTTTCGGCAATGCGCCGGCTGATCCAAAGACCTGAAGAATACGGCCTCCACTGGTCTTCGCTCCACCACCTTCCCATCTCCTCCATCGTCTTCTGCTCCTCTTCTTCGTTTTTTGTGTATTCTTTGACAAGGTCCAATAACAACTCCAGGTCAGCGCCTGACAAATATGGCTGCCCCCCGTCTTTGCTCCGCCACCTTCCCATCTCCTCAACAATCCTCTTCCAATCCTCTTCCAGCTTTCTGTATCTTACGCAGTTTTTGCGGAATGGCCTCATTTCAGCCTCTGTCAAATTCAGTTCTTCCTCGCATTCCCGGAGCCATTTTTTAATCTTTTCCATGATCTCCGCCGGATCTTTTTCCTGGTCTCTGTAACTTTTGAGAAGGCCCAATAAGAACTCCAGGTCCAACAAATGCGGCTCCTTCTGCCATTCGCCGAGCCGCCTTTTAATTTCTTCGATGATCATCTTCCGATCCTTTTCCTGGTCCTCGTAACTTTGGAAGATGTCCAAGAAGAGCACCAGGTCGGCATCCGACGAATACGGTTTCCTCCCCCGATAGTTGACCCACCTTTCCAACTCCTCCATGATCTTCTCCCGATCCTTTTCCTGGTCTGTGTAACTTTGGAAAAGATCCCATAACAGCTTCCGGTCATCATCATCGGGCAAAAAACATATGCGGAGCATGCTTGCAATCTCCTCCATAACCGCCGTCCAATCTTTTTCTTGGTCGGCGTAACTTCTGAAGATGTTGGAGAAGAGCTCCAGGTTGGCCTCTGATGAATGCGGCTGCTTCTGCCATTCGTAGTTCCGCCTGTCGATCTCCTCCTTGAACATCTTCCGCTGTGTTTTCTGGCCTTCGTAAATTTGGATGAGGCGCGAGTTCAACAGATTTACAACTTCTGAAAGCTGTACACCCCACGAGGGCGGGCAAGGTCTGAGCCACCTTTCCAACTCCGTTGTGATCCTCTTGCGATCATCTTCCTGGTCTTTGTAAGTTTCTATGACGTTCAGGAACAACTTTGGATCAGCTGCCCCGTGTTTCATGCAGGTGCCTTTGCCAAGCGATCCGCCCTGGGAAAGGGGAAAAGGGAGTGGGGTTCCCGTCGTGAGTCTCCGAGACTCCATACGCATCATTAATGCAGCTGCCATCCCCTGGGAGGAGGAGGTAGGTATCAACGGTTTGGTTTGTCCCTGGCAATGAACCAAGAACAATTTTCCTGCTATAATAGGTTCAAGGTTCATTTTATTTATATGCCGCCCTATTCCCGGCGGGACTAATATACTTTTCCCCAAGGCCCTTGGCAACAGGGTCTTCCTTGCCCACTGGATAATCTAGTTGCTGACCTCCTCAGAGTCTATTTCTATTAATACGTTTTCTTAAATTATTATCCTTTATTTCTGCTTTTGATGGATTGGATCTGTCAATTCCGCTATCCACGCGCATATTATAATCTCCTGCCATTATCACATAACCGTTTTTTTTTTACTTCTTCCTTTATACGCTCTATTATAAAACTCTCTTTGACTTATATTAGGTGCACACAAATTTGCTAAGGTAACCTCTTGTCCATAAATCAAACCTTGAGTTATCTTCCCAAAACATCCCTTTNACTTTAATATTAAAGTACTTCAGGCTTTTGTTGAACTCCATGAATTTGTGGATCTCAATCTCGTCCAAGCGTTACGGTAAGGAATCTTTTTTTTCCCTCCAGAAAATTTTTATTTTTTTATTCTCTTACATACCATTTTAAGTATACATTCACATAATTCTCCTTCTTCTTTACATTTATCATTCTTATACATTTATTATTTCACTTAATAGGTTAGAATATGCAGTTTGGGTTGCTTTATTTACCTTCTACCGGTTGTAACACCACCTTATTTTCCCTTGCTTTTCTCCCTCCCTCCTCTATTTTCTTCCTTCCTCCTCTCCTTCCCCTTCCTTCTTCTCTTACCTCTCCCCTACTCCTACTCTTCCTCTTCCCCTTCCCACCCTCTCTCCTTCTCTTCCTCTCCCTTCCACCATCCTCTCCTTTCCCTTTCCTTTTTCCCTCCATTCTCTCCTTTCGTCCTTCCTCCTCTCCTTTCCCTCCCTTCTTCTTACCTTTCTCCTACTCCTGCTCTTCCTCCCCTCTCTCCTTCTTTCTCTCCTTTCCACCATCCCTCCTTTCCCTTTCCTTTTTCTCTCCCTTCCTTCTCTACTTCCTTCCTTCCTCCTCTCCTTCCCCTTCTTTCTTCTCTTACCTTTCTCCTACTCCTAATCTTCCTCTTCCCCTACCTACCCTCTCTCCTTCTCTTCCTCTCCCTTCCACCACCCTCTCCTTTCCCTTTCTTTTTTCCCTCCCTTCCTTCTCTACCTTCTTCCTTCCGTCTTCCCTTACCTCTCCCCTACTCCTACCATTCCTCTTCCCACCCTCTCTCCTTCTCTTTCTCTCCCTTCCACCATTCTCCTTTCCCTTTCCTTTTTCCCTCCCTCCCTTCTCTACTTTCCCCCTTCCTCCTCTCCTTCCCCTTCCTTCTTCTCTTACCTTTCTCCTACTCCTACTCTTCTTCTTCCCCCACCTACCCTCTCTCCTTCTCTTCCTCTCCCTTCCATCCTCCTCTCCTGTAAGGAGTCTTTTTGAGAGGCGATTGGGGGGGGAGGGTTTAAAATGATTGACACTGCAGTAGAAGGGGAAAACTCTGTTATTCTATGATTCTACAAGCTATGTTTAAGTTTCTCCTGGATTGGAGGAATGTTAAATGCTTACGTCTACATGGATCACAGTCTAACACTGCCATTTGAGTCAATGGGCTCATATTTATGATGGTTGCAGTGGTCCTTGGGTCATGTGATCAACTTTTGAGAACTTCCAACAAGCCAAGTCGAAGGGGGAGTCAAATTCGCTTAACAACTATGTTTCTAACTTAATAACTGCAGGGATTCACTTAACAACAACTATGGCAAGGACAGTCATAAAATGGAGCACGACTCAGATATCCGACTTGGCAACGTACATTTAGAGCTCAATTATGGTTGTAAGTCAAGGACTGCCTGCATACATGTTTAATTCCTGATTAGGCTGAAGCCTTGGACGTGATCATATTCTACTTTAATCGTATTTTATCATATCATGACTTTCTGGATATTTTTGCAGGCAGTTCCTGTGGAGTTTTAGGCTGCCGGGAGAAGCTCAGAAAATTGATCGCATGATGGAGACGTTTGCTTCACGCTACTGCCTTTGCAACCCTGGGGTCTTCCAGTCTACAGGTGAGCAAGTGTGGCCTTTCCTACCTGTATGTGTCTTTGTAGGCTGGACTGCCACATCCTGCAAGCCTCAACCTGTTTGGTGGTGTCATCACTTGGCCGGCTGTTGTCATTGGTAACAACTATTGAAGGTTTTGGGCTCAGCGGCTAAGAAGCCGAGCTTGCCGATCAGAAAGGTCAGCAGTTCAGCAGTTCGAATCCCTAGCGCCACCTAATGGAGTGAGCTCCTGTGACTTGTCCCAGCTTCTGCCAACCTAGCAGTTCGAAAGCACGTAAATAAT